CCCCCGCAAATATATGTGTATGAAGACTAAAGTGTAGATTTTAGAAATCTCTTGTATGAGAAGTCCAATGCAGAACAAGGAAAGTGTTAAACTACAGTTAAAGAAAACTGATTCTTAGATGCAAACTAAGGAATTGCTGTTTTGCTGAGATGGTTTTTATAGAAGAGGCATTGGAAAGGCAAATGTCACATTTTCTTCTTTTAATGAAGTGTGGACAACAGTTGTGGTGTCTAACTTGTACTGATCAACCTCACATTTATTAACCACATGCAGGAGTTTGGGTTTTATTTCTTTACTTTGTTTGTAAAATGAATCTGTAAAGTAAAAACTTTGAAATTTATTGTTTTTGTGATTATGCTTAACAGAAAAAGACACAGACTCTGAAATAAATAACCATTAACAAAAGAATCCAAACCAACAAACAGAATCACATCCAACTCTTTTTGGGGGACTGCATCCTTTGTCTCACCATATTAGGCCCGAATTAAAAAAAAAACAACCCATATTAATTGTATTTAGGTAAACTCCATTGCAACAAGAAGGTAACACCCTCATTGCATGATTTTTCCAACAGCTGACATTCCTTTCATACAGTGTGCACATTTGGTAGTCTGGATGAAGGAATATTATAGTTCAAAGTTTTACAAATTAAATTCAGAGATTACACTGCCTACATGTATCTGTTAATTTTTCAAACCTGCCATGCATCAAGCCTACAAGATAGAGGTCTTCAAGCTTCTTGTAGTTCATTATCATTTCTTTGGCCCTGAATTACCACTGCTTGTGAGCCACCCTTTTTATAAATGACCATACTAGTTAACTGTTCTGTTCCACTGGGAGACTGCTTCAGAGTTTACAGCAGAACTAGACTGCAAAATCTCTTGAGACTCGGCTGTCTCTATCACAGTGTGTGAATACACACCAGTCTCATTCTGCATATCTTGTGATAATTCTGTTACAATGTAATGGGTTGCACCTTCAGAGAAGTTGCCACTGGAACCCTGAACCATAGCTTGAGCTATTTCTTCTGTGACAATGATCTGTGAAATTTCCCCATCAGACTCAACTAAATCCATGTGTTCGCTTTGGACGCTAAGTGAATGGTTAGCGGTTTCTTGCATTATTATTTGAGAACCTTCTCTAGCCACCATATGCACAGTCCCTTCCTCATTTACAATAACCTGAGTGACACCTTCTTTCATCAGCTGGTCTGCTGCAGCCGTGTCACATACAGCAAACTGCAGTACTCCTTGGACCATTTTCTTGAAGGCGGCTTGAGCTCTCTCCTGAGATGCAATTATAGTAGATGGGTGCATGACCTGTGTCACTACTTCCATAGGTTGCATATCTTCCTGAGTCTCTTGAACTTCATGGAACATCTGTATTTCTTGTGTCTCAGTGTCACTAGAAATATTAGGTGTCTCTTGATTTGGTATTTGTGACAAATCTTTGTGATCAGATCTTGTTCTGTCCAGTTCAGTTTTGATTTCCACTTCGCCCAGCTCTGTTACAGCACAAAGCAGGGCATCAAATGCTGAGGAAGAGTCTGGAGGATGTACTGTACCTTCTGCAGCATCTAAAACTTCTTGTTTCATTATCTGCTGCACCACAGCACTACTGGAATCAGGAGCTGCCTCTATGGGAACAGCCTCCTCAACATCACTTCCTCCAACAGAGCCTTCAACCACTTGAGCAACTACCAGTTGGGTTGTACCGTCTGATAATTGCTCAGTAAGTATCTGTCCTGGGACTATGTTGCTCACATGAGAACCATTTTGACTTGTGGCTATAACTTGCCCATCTTCTGTGATATGGACCACTCTTGCCACTTGACCAGCCATTGCCAAAGTCTGAAGGGTAGCTGCTGCTGTTTCTTCCACAGAAGCATCAATTGCAAAGTCTCCATCATATCCTTGAATAATAATAAACTGCTGCACTTGTTCAGCTGATGATGGCTGTCTTCTGCTACTTCGAAGGACCTTCTCTTTAACTGGAGAAAGTTCTCCCAGTGCTGCTGCAGTAAAAGAGCTAGTGGTCTCCACAAAGGTTGCTCCCTGCCCCTTTAGCCGGCACTCATAGGACTTGGATACGATGCCTAGGAAATAAAAGTGTGTGTTAAAACAGGAATGATGGCTAATATTTCAGTTTATTTTGAGCAACTACAACTCAAATAATTTTCTTTTGCAATTTTTAAATTTCACCGGCAAAAACACAGGTGTAATATGCAACTGAACAAAACCATTTTGCATGTTTTCCCAGTCATTTATTTACAGGTCCAAACAACTGCTGCTGCTAAGAAGTCTGCGGAGCACTAACCATTGTAATTTGTTCTTTTTACAACAGCTTGTATAGAAAGAGCAAATGCATACATTTTACAATTAAAAGCCATTAATATCTTATTTTTTTTAAAAGAGAATGCCTCTATGGTGATGCTAATTTTGTAATGAAACCTATACTATGGCTTTCCAATTATAAGTTGACCCCACATTTGCTTATTCCGTTCGAAGAACAGCTTTTCCCCCAAATACAAAGGGATAGTTACAGATAAAGTCCTTGCAGTTGAAAAATCCATTACCCTTAAAAAATTCATAAGAAAATTGAATAACCAAGGAAAGAGTTAAATGCACTGAAAATACTAAAATAATAATAAGAAAAAGCACCCTCTCCACCAAAGGTAATTTTGCCCAAGGCTTGCCATATTATTTTCAGCCTAAAATTCCATGTCAATACATATCAAGACAAATATTTTGGTCAAAATGCACTGTTTACAGATTTAAATAGACTGGCCCTTATTAAAAGGCCAGATCTGAATGGCAGGTCTGGATTAAAACTTCGTATGACAGGCAGAACAATACATGGCCTAGATGGTTTTAAGGTTCAAAATCCAAACATTCCTAATTTTAAGAGTGAAGTAGGAAAGGAGAAGGTGGGTGGTTGCATTTACACCATTGTTATATGTAGGTGGCAGCTCAGAGTTGACCTCTCCTACGAAAAAACAGTACAAACAAAAGCCACTTGGTAATTTTTCTTTTGAACAATGAAGCATATTGTCATCTTTTATATATTTTTTAACTGAACCTCAGATGTGTTCTAGTTTAGTGTTGGGAATGGCCAGGATAATGTAATAGTGTTTTTGCTAATAATTAATGCACAGCCTAATATAAAAAGAAAAAATTAAAATGGGTTTTAAATGTTAAACGTCCACACTTCTGAAGTGCATCAATTCTGTATGGTTTCCTGCCAGCTCCCCTTGCAGGGAGTTTCCTGGAGCTGTGGTTCTGGTGGTAACTTTCTACAAAGACAGGCCTAGAGCTGGGGACCCACAAGTGGAGCCAGGGGCCTCAACCCATTACAGGAGTCTTAATACTTCTGGGCTCCTAGCTTCATAATGGAGGATTAATACTTACCTTCAGATCCCCAGAAGTCATGGGGATATAGGCTACTTGACCACTGTTATCCTCCCCTCTTGCTGCCAAGACAGCAGATCATCCTATACAGCACCTCTACGGGACACCCATTTTGACCCAAGGGTACTGTGCAGGGTCATCAGCTCCATTCAATAGCAGTGTATTATTCTGATTATAGGTTGACCCTGCATTTCAATGTGAATTTTATGGTTCTTTTTGAGGGAAAAGGTCAACCTATAATTGGAACAGTATGGTAATTGCATATTACATTAAACATATCTGGACATAATGTGCAAATGACCCCCTTTTCACGTTTTGGCTTTGCTGGTAAGGGTAACGGCTATGTCTTTGTTTTAATGCTATTAGTTTCTCCTTCATTTTTCCATCAAACACTCTTCCTAGCACACCTATCTGAAACTGTATACTGGTGTATTTAGTTGAAGGCAACATAGAGTCTTTCTAAACAATTTATTCTGCAAAAATATCATCATGGCAAATCGCTCTTACCTCTTTCTTATTTTCACTTAAAATCTTCTCAATTTACAAGTTAAAACAAAAAACGGTTTTTAAAGGTTCTGCAAGACAAATTATGCCCTTAGTTACACGTGCTCAACCCCACTGTCTTCAAAACATGGCCTCATGGATACCCTGCAGTCCTGTTTGCCTTCGGTGCCTTTGGGCAGGTCTAGCTTATGGGAGCTTAGTGAACAAATTCACGGGTACACAGACAGAACAGAATTCAGTGAGCTCACTCTCAAGATATGTCAGGACTGCAACCCAGAGGCCTTACTACAGCTTGCTTTGATATATATAAGCTAGCTTTAAACTAGCTCATGAGATAGTGTGGCTTCAGCAGCAGGGGTTTCGAATGCCAACTACTTAACTGTGTTTCAGGGCAGGCCTGTAGAGACTGTGCCTAGACTGCTACTGGCACCTGGGCTATAGTGTAAAGTTAGCTTGGATATATCTAACATGAGCTGCAAACACCCCTGGATTACAGTCTAGACATACACCTAATTGTGTTAGCTTTCCTTTGTGTCAGACATGAGCCTGAACACACAAAAGAAGCAGGTCAGCTGCATTAAAAAGTGTCGTATTTAGTTATATTTCAGACTAGAACTGCATTTTCAGATGCCGATGCTTTAACCCAGTAAGTAGGAAGTACTTGTGAATGGCCTAGTTGTCTTCTCATCTCAGAATCTGACAGCCGGCCTTGAGGACTCAGTCATCACAGAAGTGCTGAGACCTTTAGTCCCAATCCCACCAAGAACTAAAGCACATGTTTAAAAAGTCAGACAGATGCGTTTGCTTAAGCATTTTGCTGAATCAGGGCCAAAGTACTCAGCATCTTGTAACACCATGCTCCCAACTGCTTCAAATGTCCAGGTTAAGGTCGAGGTACGATTTCACACGCATCAAGATAATACTTGCACCCAAAAAACTGGGCCTCACTGGTGACTTCTTTCTTTAAACTTCAAAGCTTTTCCCAGATGATTATACTACAAAATGTGTGCCTGAATTTTGCTAAACAGTGAGACTTCAGATATCTAAACTGATATCACATAAACTTCTTCATGTTAGGTTGAAAGGCAGGTTCTTTTTGGAGAGGAAAATTAACAATTTAAACTGTTAAAGCACTTCCAAGTTTTATTGCAAAATTGATCTGGCACATGCTATTGAATTAAATTTTGGCAGGGATAAACTACAGGGAAGCCCATGGTGACACTACTAGTTCTTGTCCCTAGTTATACTTTTTTTATTGTGGGCAATGACGTGTGGAGACCCACAAAACAGAGAAAGTTGGAGGGGGAAATCAACATAAAATGGCAATTTTCAAAAGAATCTTATTTGATGCATATTTTATAACAGAGTAGGAGTAATTAATTCTCTCAGGAGCCTTGCTTTGTTGAAATGATATAAGATAGGTCTGGCAGTGATGCTGCACCAAATCAAAATACCACTACAAATCATATATTTTTCAATAGATCTGAAAATCAAAATAAATCGTAAGTTTGTACTGGATATAGCAGAAACCATGCCATAGTTACCTGTTAAATTACCTCAGACAAACATCATTACGTAAAGGACATAAAGCACTTAAGGTAAGATGCAATTTTGGGAGACGGAAACAAACAAAATAACTCCTCTTCTCAGCCTCTCAAATAAATGCTGTATCGGTGAATCCATGCAACTTCAGTCTTTACTCTGCAATTGAATGGGAAGTCTCTGGGGTGTAGAGTTATCCAGTGAATTCCTTGCAGCACTGATAATTATGCCATTCTGACTGCTTGCTTAATCTATCTGAATCCAGAGGTGAGTTAAGCCACTTCCTGACCATTAAAGTAAACTACATGGGTAAATACTGCTGTCAGTAAGGGGTGTGATGAAGCTTAACTACACCAACATCTTAACCTCAGCTCAGTGCAACCCCAGCTATTCCATCACAGTTCATAAATGCGATTGCAGGTCCATCTTTTGATTCAGCAATTTAATAACTTCGAGTGCTGTCAGTACTGCTTTGAAAAATGGCTCCTATAAAATGTAACAGCCTCAATCAGATTGTAAAAGATTCACCCACTGAAGATTCTTCCATTTCAACTATAATGAATTAATGTTGAGCTATGTAGAAGTTCAAGTGTCATTTAAACTAATGTGAATCTACTGTAACTTTAAATTTTAACTGGACTATGACCAAGAATTTACTGGGAACATCAACTTCAATTTTAGTGATTTTCATGGTAAATATGAATCATAGATTTAAGTGGTTTTCTTTTGTTTTAAAATTGAAAAGCCAAATAGGGGAAGTATTTTGAAAACAACACACACTGAGGCTTAGCTGGTCTTATGACTTTTGGAACAGTACATTTCTGTAATGGAGCACTACTATTCCACATAATGTAAGAACCCCCCAAAATGTTATTTCAAGAAAAAAACACATTATTGAACTGTATGGAGCAACAAATCAAATTTTGCTACTAAATTTGGCATCCTAATTCCTGTCTCTCCCTCCCCCCACCCAGCCAAAAAAAATGAAGGGAGGGGTAAGTGTTGGTTGACATGCCAAACACAAGCTGCAATATAAACCTGCATTAATATTAGGAAAACTGTACTTGCTGCTGATTGTATGTCATTGCAAATTGGAGAGAGACACAAATAAACATTAAAACGACAAAATTCAATGATACAACAGCTCATATTCAGAGAAATTGCAAAAAGGTGTTTCATATCTAGGGGTGCAATGATCAGAGAATTGGTTCCTTTCCAAGAAGTCTGTCATTTCAACAGAGGCATTATTTATCAACCGGAGTCCTTAGCGATTGTTACATTTTTATTTGAAAATTTCAAGCTTTTTAGACATTAAATCCATATTTGTGGGTTATTTTAATTCTCAGAGACCACAAACTTCCCAAAATAGGGCTAAAAGATATGCTTTGATGTTTAATGTGCTTCTGGGAAACTACAAATAGGTTTTAGCACTTTTTCTTTTACTTAGTACCTGACTTTCTTTTGTGCGTCTCTTTTATTCTTTTGTTACTGTCATCATTTTTTCCCCACAGAATAAATACCTTATTCTTTTGTTAAGCTTACATTTAATTAAAATGTACAGGATTTGTGCAGTAAACTCGAATGAAACAAATAAAACAAGGGCCCCCTCTCTTGAAGGCATACGTTGTGAATGAAAAATGTC